ATAAATATAGAAATAAAAGAACCATCCAAAATCAAAACTAAGGTTATTTATTCTAGCCTATACAGTAGATTCTAACAATTGAACTATCCTTTTGATTTTCAGCAGGGACCTTTACTTATTAGATTCAACTGATATTGTCTGTTCTGACCATTTAACCTGAATATTATTATTTCAGTATACAGTGACAGCACAATATATTTGTTTACCACATTATTGACAATCAGCGTATCAAATTTGTATGTTCAAAAACTCATACTCCATGCGCCTTGGATTCATATGAATAACAATCATATGTTCATATTTTCAATAATATTGACTTCTGCTTTTTAGGGAAGGTGAGGAAATGTCTTTGAAACAAACAACTGATATATCTTTGTGTTCAGTATTTTCGACAAAATTCTATTTCACTTTATACTTCAAAAGTTCACCAATAATAGCTGGGAGTTTTTTGTGCACATAAATAATGTGTATATAAATCGTTCCTCAGATGTCTTCTCCTTTTCTTGCACTCTCTAACTGACTATAATGTTACAGTTTTATAAATGGTTACAAGTGTGTTATCTTTGTCTTCTCATTTTAGTCATGGACCACTGACATTGAGTGGTTTGGCTGAATAAGCTTCCAACAGAGGTGATTAATGAACTATGATACCGTGAGCAGTTACATTTTAACTCCCACAACAATGTGGGAAACTAGATGAGACCAGGCTGCTCTTGAGAATATGTTCTCCAGGAATCGCTTCAATGGACAGCATGGAGCAGGTGTTAACCCAAAAGAAGGCACAAAGGCAAAAATCCATTCACCCAAAAAGAGGGCTCCGAACCCCAAGGTAGCACTAGTTATCAGGGGTAAAATACATCGTCTCTTGCAAGGTTCTGCCGACCATCATGTCCCAGATCCCCCCCTTTATTATGGAGGTATTGAGGAGGAAGAGGGGGAAACACAGGAGAGCAGAACGGAGCACAGCAGCAGATATCCAAAGGTTGGCCCGAGGGCTCAAGCTTATTCTCCAAAATTGTCAAATGGTAAAGGACATGGAGTAGCAGTGGGCCTACCATGTGTTGGAGAGGTGGAGCTTAATAGGGAAGGATGTTTAAGAATACCTTGCACGTTGCAGCAAAAAAGCAGCAGATCTCCAGGACATCGGAAACGAATCTCCTTTGAGGGTGAAATTCGAGCAGCTCCTGAGCAAATGCAAACATGTCCACCCTACTGTCCGATAGAACCAGACATGAATGGAACTAAATTAGCAGGGGCAGCCAGAATGGAATTGACTTCACCCCGTATTCGGCCAAAGAGACCTTTTTCTACTGGTGACTGTGTGGACTACAACTTCAACAGAGCTCTGCCAGGCGCACTGCTGGAAGAGGACGAAGATCAAGAGGAGGAGTCAAGTGCTATCATTGAGCACATTCTTAAAGAGCTAAGGGGGATCAACAAGATACAAGAGGAAATCTCTGACCTCAGGGATTATCTGACCTCAGTTCGAGGGTCAGTTGAGGAAGTGTCATCTTGTGTAGATGCTGTCTTGATGGAGATTGAGGGCATTCGTTCTAACAAGGCTGGTTCAGGGGTTCATTCAGGTACCTGGTCGGGGGTGGGGTGCAAAGATGGACCATCCACCCGAAGAAGGCCTGCCAGTGCTTATGGAAGTTTAGGGAGTGCAATGCCAAAGTCTGCTTCAAATCAATTCCCCCAGATCGGCAATGAGCGCCATAGCATCCATGGAGAATTGCTGTTATCAAGGCCTGAAGAGTCTAGTGTGTCACCAATTGCTGAATCAGTGGATCAACAGGATCTGGAAGAACCAGAAGATACCTCTGACCATAGCTCCGATATCCCAGTAGGTGCCATAGCAAGAAAGCTCAGCTTTGGCTACGTTGAAAGGCAGGATGGTCATGATTGTCAAAGTACCAGCTCCTTGTCTTCTGGTCATAGTGAGTCAGACCTAGAGAGACCATCCTCTAGTCATGGTACGAAACAGCAAAGAGCAGATGAGAGCGAGGAACATTGGCCTAACAAGGGACCACCATATGGTGCCTCTGGGGAATCAGTGTGGCATAGGGAAACTGCTTACCGCAGAGACAGATGTCGAGAGGGCCATGAAGGTGAGAGCCCTCTTTGCTGTGAAGGAGCTGGTAGCTGGGATCACTACAGAGGTGCAGAACATCTCTCTCTTCGATCTGGTAAACATTACAACTCACCAGCTAGTACTTCTAGCAGGGATGAGTGGCGGTCACGGAGGAGAAGGCCTCAAACCATTTCTGCCATTACTGTTCCAACAGAAACAGACCTTGTAAAGCCCACTGCGGGATATGAATGTCCTGCTGATTGTTCCTACCATCAAAGTTCTGGTTATCATTCAGTTGATGGACATGATGGAGAAGGAGAGGAGTTTAACTATGGGCAAATAAATGACCCGAACTATACGACAGACAGTCATGTAGATAGTTATGAGGAAACTTATTCAGCATACGAAGATTCTTCAGTAGTGACATGGACTGAGGCATCCTTATGTACCACTGTGGCTGATGTGGATAGGGATTTTATTCCGGAAACTGGAGCCAACAACCAAAGCTTAGAACACCTAGTGTCTCACTCTGGCAGTGCAGATGTTCAAGCTGGTGGTTTCAATGTCAAGCGCATAAGCCGAGCTGTGCTGGATTTTAGCTCTGCCTTGCGGGGAGCATTGCGCAAAGTTGAAGTACCTGGAGCCCAGAATGATGGAGAGGAAGTAGACTTTGAAATATCTACGACTACTGACCTGCCTACAGCTGACCTGTCTTTAAAACCTTTAGTCTATGAGGCACAATTTGAACAAACATGCAACAAAACCTTGAAAGGTGATTTGGTTAATAGTTGTGCTGTATGGGAATTGAGCAAATACAACACTCTAGACAAATCAGATATATTCTCTGTGGAGCCAATGATGGAAGAAGCCAAGAACAGCCTTACAGACACCTGTCAACACCCTTCTTTTTCGGACAAGATCCCTCCATTCCCAGATGAACTTTCAGTCTGCCCTGACCCATATTCCAGTAGCACCTCAATACTGCCTCCACCTCATGGCCTTATAAAACAACCTGCTGAAGGTCCTGCAGATCAGACCCTTAAAACCCAGCTTTCGCAATGCACCACTACAGAATCCCTCTCGATCTCTTTTGCGGCTGATAAACCAGCAACACTAGAGGAACAGGGCGAATCGGAAGTGCCACTGCCACAGCATCCAGCCACAGACAATGTAGCCCCAGAAGGCAACGCAGAAGGTGATGCAGCAGATGTGGAGATAAGCCAGATGGATGAGCGCAGGCTGAAGTGCCTGAGGACCTTCCAGCAGATTCTCCGGGAGAAGAGGGAGACCCGGCGCAGCCTTGCCAGTATGACTATGACCTTCTCTCAGGAGGAGTACGAACCAGGTAGTCATCGCTAGATTTTAAGTTGGGAGCATCTTCTGTTTTACCAGTAAATAAGCCATCTATTAGTTTTGGTTGGATAGGTACACTAACAGTACATCATTCTTTGTTATTCCAACTATTCATGTTTTAATCATCGCGCAAGATAAAAGAGCATGATGTTATTTAGATATTTTAATGTATTTGAGTGACTCATGTTGAAATGATTATATAACTTTTAGTGATCGTAGAGGTAGTGGCTTGTTTGATCATTTCAACCCTGGCTTTTGCTTATCATAGCCTCTAAATGTTGCAGAATCTCTTTGATCTGTATATAACCGTCAGTATCCTGTTTGAGTAATACGCTCACAGCTGTTATGAATAAGATCCAGCACTTGAAAGTCCCTTAGCTATTTACTGCACCAAATGGTCTCTGCTGATACTATAATTCTTCTCCCCTCTTGGGACTAATGTATCACCTGCCACTCACTGGTCCCTTATTCTTCTTAGAGGCTCCAGCAGTAGCCATTTGCTGAATTAGAAAACATCAATTATCTCCTTGGAAAGCTCACATGACATAAAGGACGAAGGAGAAAGGATATATTAAGAGTCATTTTCATGATAAATTATACATGTTAATGAAACATTTTATGACTTAAGACCCCCTTCTATCTGTAAACTCAGAGGCGCAGCTGCTTTCAACATTACCAGCACATTTATATCATAATGAATCATACAGATTATCTTGTTATATCAGCATGCTGTTTCATATGATGAGTCAAACTGTTCCATGACTGTTTTTCTTTTTCTGTCCGATCTTTTTTTTCTTTCTTGTTCTGTTTTACAGATGGAAGTCAAGAAGGAGATCAGGTTACCTCTTTCATGGTTTCTCTCACGTTAACAATTTGTACATGACAGCATAAAGAACGTTGTTCGTTCTGTTCAATTCTCTTTATATTTTGGACATTTCCACTTGTCAGTGTCTCTTAGTTTAATCGTTTTATTATTTTATTCAAATTGTTTTCTTTCAATTTCTGTTAAATGCTCATTTGGTCCTGAAAATACCATGTGTCATTTTAAAGCTAATGAAATAGATATAGGTTTAACGAGGCACCCTCAATACATCTGTGTACTATTGAGTCAACCTTCTTCCTGTCATAAACATAAAAATGCCATGCAGGAAAAGGTTAGTATTGATTACGACGCATTGTTGATGAAAAATAATATTGATGTCACTATTGTATTTTCTTTACTAGCTGTCAGACCAGATAAAAGCATCTGTTAGGATCCCAAAGTCAATATTCAGTGTGCTTTTACTGGGAGCATGTGTTGTTTGCTATGTGTTTACTTTACAAGGTGAAACCAGATTTATGATGTTCATTTATGTATGGGGGAAAATATGATTGATTGAAAGGGCCTTGTTGGCATGTCATACTGAAACTCAACCAACCCAGTGCAGTCCCAGTGTTTCTCTCCTGTTGTTTTTTCATCTCACATTCTCGTTTCTCCTGTTCTTGTGCATGCTCCAGTGTCATGCAATTATAAAAATCAATAAAGGTGGTCAGCCTTCAGATGGCTAAATCAGTGACCTTTGACATTCTATTGCAGAGCCGAGATCAAGATGGTGACCCCAACAAGCACGCATGGGCCAAGCCAGGGTCAGTAGCACATTTTGTTGTTGTCTAATTGTGTGTCTGAAAAAGAGAACTTAATAACATGATTCAGTGTTTGCAACTTCATTTTCTTCATTTACATTCTGATCTGTGTGTTTGTGTGTGTTTTTGTGTGTGTGTGTTCAGGGGAAACACACCGTTTGGCATTGACAGCATGCCAGACCTCCGCAAGAGGAGGCCCATTCCCCTTGTTAGTGAATTGGTGAGTACATATCACTTAATATTTGTTTACAGACTTTTTTTGATGAATGTGACCAAATTATAAATATTTTTAAATGACTGAGAGAAGAAAAAAAAACAGTACAAGCAACACAGTTATCACCTCCTAAACCCTAAATAACCTACAAAAACAATAAAACCCTATATTGAGGATTTATAGACGTATGAATTCACACATTGTACATTTCAATTTAAAGGTCATTGGTTTACAAAATGAATGATAAGTCTAAACATTTTAATGAAATTAGTTTAATGTGTAAGCATAACCAAAATAATTGTTAAGTCACTAATTACTGACATACAAATACTTTACCTGAAAATCTTAAAACCATGACTACATGAAGTCATTATATTAATGTGGTACTATATTGAAATGTGTCATTGATAAACATGTCTTACCTAACCACTATGGGTGGAGCCACATCATTTCTCCAGCTTCAGATACAATGCAAATACATCATGTGCCAAAAACACATGAAAAAACCTCTTCAGCAACTTGACAAAACATGCGCAGTGTTTAATAAAAGCACTGCACGAAAAGCTGCAATTACAAAAAGCTGCAAATAAAAAAGGCTGCCATAAAGTCAATACACTCTATACTCTAAACACGGATGCATACAGCTGGGAGCTGAGCGCTTGTCATTCATTTGTCTTATTTAACCTTTTTTTGTTGTTACATAAACTAGTAACAAAATGTTCACGTGTTGGTTCGTTATGCTGCAGGATTTACTGCGTGTACCTTGTCAGTTTTTGTTTCTCCTTGCAACTGCTCTGCCCCAGGTTCACGGTCATCTCGTTTTTTTTAATTTCAGCTTTAATTGCCTGTTAACTTCGGCCTCAGCATTGGAAGTAGCAAAGAACAGTAATGTTAACAAGCCGGCTGAATCACACCAGCGTCTGGAAATGTTACAATCAGCTAATTTGATCCTTCAGAAATGATTACTTGTAGTCTACATTAAAGAAACATGTTTAAAAAAAGAGAATTTCTGCAAAAGCACCCGCTGTGTGATTTGTTTGCAGGCGCTGAATAGCAGGATTCAAGTTGAACGTGGCTAATCCTCTCACAGGGGAACTTGTTTGTTTGTCTATAACCTTTTCTTTCTTTCTTTCTTTTCTTTCCTTTCACATGTTGCCTCCCTCCACCCGCCGGCCCTCAGGCTATGGTGAGTAAAGGAGAAGTGAGATTTCAGCTGCTGTGTTTCAAAATGTATTTGTTGCAAACTCTCTAAGGGTCCTGATCGTAGAAAAGGATTTGATTTGCATTTGTGTGGAGGTTTGTTATGTCTTTTGTACTCATAGAAATATCAGTCATTGATCACCCATATTTGAAAATATTCTGACAAATACAAGAAACATCAATTCCTTCTTGTGAGTGCTTTCAGCTTTCTCTCTGATGGGTGTTTTAGCCTTTATTCAACAGGTTTGTCTTGCTGTGTTTCAGAGTGACAACAGCTCCATTTTCTAAAATACCCACCTGTCTCTCCAAACAAACTAGTGCTGATAAATGTTATGGTTATTGTCTCGCATTTACTTTGAAGTACTTAAGGGAGGCAGAGGTGTTCATCACTGGCTGCAGTCTGAGTGATTAGAGCTAGGAATATTCCGTCTCTGAGATCTAAGAGACCTGACTCATCTGATTAAAGAAACTCCTTCCTGTTTGATTTGACGCAAGTCCACCAGAGGAAAGGTCACACTCAGCAGGGTCTCAGGGGGAAAAAGGCACAGTTTTTAAATGCAATACATAAACTTACACAAACGATGAAGAAAGAGAATCACAGATAAGAGACATGAACAAACACAAAGTTGTGCAGATGGAGCCAATTTGGAAATAAAAGCCAATAATTGCTTTAAAAATAATAACATAAAATCTCACTCGCACTGAGGAAATACAAAGTAAAAAAATCTACAATTTGGTTTTGTGAAGAGTCAAAATTCCTCACATAACTTGAAAGACTGGACTTATTCTTGACAGTAAGAGTTCTAATGTTCAAGGTATTAATTGTGTGGGGTAAAAACCTTGAGTAGTAACAAACAGATTCACTGTGGATATGGATGTCTATTCACCACATGACTTGTCTCTTTCTCTTTGTGTTGCTGGCGTTTGATGCTTTTGCTTTCTTTGAAAATGCAGTTTTGATCAAATATGGACTCTTAATATAAATGTTAGGAAAAAGGCTAGTGTCGGGATTTATCGATTCATTCTGCAGCAGAATCCGGATATCTTTTAATAAAACCACGGTGTATTTTCTTCACCTACCAGCAATGTCACTGGAAGGACATAACATGTAGGACGTTTAATATCCTGTAGTTCCAATACTGCACCATGGCTTTGACCAACCCAGAAACAGGTGCCATCATCCACCTGTATCCTGGTCCTAAACCCATATTCACACAGTAGGAGCAGGTAGCTCTGGCAGTTACCTCCAATAGCACATGTATGCCTCACCATGATCGTGTCGAATGGTTGAACAGCATCTGAAACTCACCATTTAGGGACAATTCCCAAGTTGTCCCAGCTTTGAAGTGCTGCTGTAGGATGACAAATTCATTTGAACTTCCGTATTTAGTTTATGCTGGAGCAGATCAAAGGCTTTCCAAACTATCCTGCTACAGCACTTTGGCAAACATCCACTCATAGCATAACACAGAAAACTGAAATGGTGCAGTGGGCAATTCCATTATACACTGTTGTTGTAAATGTGCATATCTGTTACGTTACACGTCCATTTAGTCAGGATTACATTACTTGAAAGATTAAAAACCACTGAGTTGACAACTTTCCCTACAGAGCCAAACATCAAGCATGAAAAAAAAAAAGATAATCTAAAATTACAAATCTGGTTCTGTGCCTGAAAAACTCATCCTCTGCGGGGGTCCAAAGCTCCCCTCGTGCTCCTACTGTAGATACCATTCCTAGCAGAACCGCTAACTGAGTCCCAAAAAGCAAATTAGCATATATCCCCCAAATGTCAAACTATTCCTTTAATGCATAAAATCACTCTTTTAGTTTTGCTCACTTCAATACTTAATATTATAGTGCCATAAAAACATCCGTAATTCAAAATCAATGACAAAAAGGTGTAAGTGTTTGTCCTCATGGAGTGAGTCAAGAATGTGTTTCGAAAGCTGTGTCGAAGACAGAAGAAAAAAGTATGTGATGTGTTGCTCTTTTAACTTTGAAGGTTTCCACAACCTTCAAAGTTCAAAGAGCAACACATCACACAGAAAATGTATTTCCTGGATTGTTTGACTGAAAGTTGTATTTGGCGCTTTCTTTTCTTTTGTTTCCTTGTTTGTTTTTCTGCTTTGTTTTTCTCTGTGGATGTTTATCACTGATGCTTTTTGTATATTGTTCTCGTCTCTTCTTTCTAGTCTATGATACAATCCAGGAAAGCTGGACTCGCCCACACACTGGCCACACGGACGTCCTTGAAAGACGAAGAGCTTGTGAGTGGCAAAATTCATATCACACACACACACACACACACACACACACACACACACACACACACACACACACACACACACACACACACACACACACACACACACAGCTTATCCTGAAGTTATGATGGTATAGTAATCTACAGAAAGACCTGCTGTCTCAATGCCAACTACTCATCCAGAAAAATCTTTGCACATATTTGACACATTAATACTCCCCTACTGCACGCCTGTTACACCAATATGACTCCTTTATTACAAGCACGTTTCACCCTTATTGCACTTGTATTACACCCTAATTATACCCTTTTGACACTGTTATTTCAGCCATATCGGACAGTTATTACACCAATATAAGACCCATGTAACACCAATATTAGACCCATATTACATCGTAATTACACTGTTATTACACATATTTTACAAATAGACACAGCCTGTGAAATGACTGCATCCCCAAGGATCCAGAAACCATTTAAGGGTTATAAAGCTGTTTGTTGAAGATCCAAAATGCTAAAGGGTCTAAATCTCGTCATCTTTAAGCAGCATCAGGGTTTATTGGAGACATGATCAGCAATTCCTGACATACATTTTTGTATTATCATCGTTTTTGTGGCTTTTCTACTGTGCTCTGCTAAGTGTTTACATTATAATTGGTAAAACATTCATTATAAGTGAATAAACTAGGTCACTAAATGCAGCAGTGGAGAACATAGCCACTGCCACATTTTAAAGCCTCTAATTTTATTAAGCTTGATTATACTAAAAGTCCTGATTATAATAAGTTCTGAAAATAAATCAGAGGTCTAAAACAATTGTATTTGTTGCTTATATATTTAATTTCATGTCGAAAATATTTCACCACATGGGCTCTGCAGAGGACTTGCAGAGGCAATGTAAAATGTCCATATCACATGAATATTATAGAGGGATACAGGTTTTTAGTTTTCTTATAATGAGCAAGTCCAGCTGTTTTTTAAACTGACTAGTTTGTGGTGTGGACTACATTGTATTGACGATTTCGCATTGATTTTGTCCACTTTAATTGCACACAGAACATATAAATGGACACAAATGTTGTAAATAGAAAAATAATAGCTGGAAATAAGGTCTGTGGTTGACACAAATTTAAGAGACGGATCACGTTTTGTCCTACGACATTAAATACATCAGCAGTGACCCCACTGGTGATTTTTGAAGAGTTTACGTGTTTGAAAAACGATGGTTGTTAACATGTGGCTGAATAGGACTACAGAAGCTGCGGGGGCGTTGTAGGTCATTACGCCGTTTGTTTGCACCTGTTCTGCTTGAAAGCAAGTACCTGCCTCCTGCAAACTGTTAAAGAAACGCTTCAACTTGTACCATTTTGAATCTGTATTTTTGAATATGGATCTTAAAGGGGACCTATCATGCAAAATGCACTTTTGTACGTCTTTTATACATGAATATGTGTCCCCGGTGTTCCAGGGAACTCACCAAGTGTCAGAAAACACAACCCTCTCTATTTTCCTCCATACCCAAATCTCTAAAAAAGGGGCTGCAACGGATCTGATAAAAACTGATCCAGATTTGAACACTGTCAGGACGGTGGCGCTACGGCTATTGGGCCAACTCTCCACCTATCAGGGGAATGTGGGGTTGGGCCACGGCCGGCCATTGCCGCTCGAAAGCGCTGGAGACGCTGTAGTACATATGCCAGGCCTGTAAGTGGCGCTGTAGTCTGCCACAAAAGCAGCAAAGAAGACTTCCCGCCCATAGTTACCATGGTTACCCTTCTGTTTATTCTCCGCTGTGGCTTTTTTTCTCCCTCCCCGAGGCAAGCGTTTGCTCCCGCTGCAAACGCTTGCCTCGTTCCCCTCGTTCCTTGGAAGAGGCGGAGAATTACAGTGCTTGCCTCGACGGGGAGGGATTGCATTGAGCAATCCCTCCCCGTCGATGCAAGCACTGTAATTCTCTCCGGTTAGTCCACCAGCAGATGACAAACACCCACCTCTCCGCCTCTTCCAAGGAACGAGGGGACTGTGCAGCAGAGTTTCAGTTTCAGTTACTTTCGCCGGTCAAGATGTCCGTTAAAGTTTAAATCTTCCGGACAAAATTAGAAAAGTGCCGGTCAAAGGTCTTTGTTGTTTATTGAGCTTTAAAACAAATGAATAACGACTCTATATAATAAAACACGGAGGACGGAGATCTCTTTTTCTCCCCCTCTTCTGACAGCCCAGCAGCTGATCAGAGCACGTCTCACCTCTCCTGCAGGGGGCGTGGTCAGCAGAATCAGACCCGTAGACAGCAAACAGCACATAGAGCGAAATTAGGCATGGCTAAAATGCATGATCTGTTTGGTATTTTGAAAACAGAAACGTATAAATATTAGGGCTGTCAGTCGATTAAAATATTTAATCGCGATTAATCGCATGATTGTCCATAGTTAATCGCGATTAATCGCAAATTAATCGCACATTTTTTATCTGTTCTAAATGTACCTTAGAGGGATATTTTTCAAGTTTTTAATACTCTTATCAACATATGAGTGGACAACTATGCTTTATATGTTTGTTTATTATCATTTGAACAATGACAAATATTCTCATGAATATTAAACACAACAACCTCTGAACATTACAAATATTCGCCTCAATTCAACCTAGAACCTCTCTCATACAATAATGTGTGTGTGTGTGTGTGTGTGTGTGTGTGTGTGTGTGTGTGTGTGTGTGTGTGTGTGTGTGTGTGTGTGTGTGTGTGTGTGTGTGTGTGTGTGTGTGAGAGAGAGAGAGAGAGAGAGAGAGAGAGAGAGAATGTGGAGACACTGTGATGGATTGTTGGAGCTATGTGCAGCTCAAGGCATATATGCCTGTGTGTATGAGCTGTGTTGCGGCACTATCCGTGCTGAGTGTGCTGTCTGGCTACCTGCATAAAGTCAAGTGCTCGGCGCAGTTGTCGGCGAAATGTCGCTCCTCTGTTTTCATTGAAACAGCTCCTTATATCCGTTAGCTCAGCTAGCTAGCACCAGATGCTAACAACAACACGTAAGGTGTGCTTCGCTCGCGCCACACATACACACACCCTCCTGGTCCTCCCGATGGCCAGTCCGGGCCTGCCGGTGAGCGTGGAAGTGTGGTCTGCCACAAGCGGGCAGCAGGAGCGGGGCTGTCAGCATCAGCTTGTAGATGGTATTTTAAACTCGATGCGCTCTGAAACTACGGCGGCCGAGGACAAAAAATACACATGCGTTAATCGCGTTAAAATAATTAGTGGCGTTAATTTTTTTTTGCGTTAACGCGTTATTAACGCGTTAACTTGACAGCCCTAATAAATATACCTTATATAGGTATGGCCCTACAATATATCATTTAAATATAGCATGATAGGTCCACTTTAAGTTGGCGTGACGTTGAAGTCGTGCGACCCTGCTGTACTCGGCTGTAGTTCGTTTATAGCATAACGTTAGCATTTTGCTTCTTGCGATTAGATTTATGATTCGAAAATTATAAAAGTAGGGTAGACATGTGGATATTATCCGGCTGAACAAAACGTGCATTTATCAAACAGGTTCGTTTTCCACAGACCTTATTTCCAGCTATTTTCCTAAATCCTATGGAGAAATCCCATTGCTTTTTTGTCGAGGGAACCCATGAGCAGCTTACTTCCGGGTAAATAAGTCATCGTCATAGAGGCGTTTCAGGCAGGGGGGGGGAGTGTGTGGGATAGAAACCCCTCCTGGAGGGAGCTTTCGGATTTTAGCCTTTGCAGACCATTTACATGCACAAAAAACCTATACGACACACTACAGGAAAGGGAAAACTCAAAAAGCGTAATGGGGCTCTTTAAAAAAAAATCACAGAAGCTCACAATTAAATCTGCTCTTGATATTTATAAAAAGATCTTTGTGTTTGATTGTAATACAAGGTAAACAAGAATGATATTTATGGTCATTCAGATTTTACAATTTACTTCTCTGAAGTAGCGCATAAACTGACATGTATACCAACAACTTAACCATAGAACATGCATATGCCTTGTAGGTTATTGACCTCCCCATATTGACAGATGGGCGTTACAGAATACAGGAAAGATATTAACAAATTCATAATGTTAGCTGTTCCATAATTAGATTCACTGACAGATGGAAACAGCATATGTACAGAAATGTGCACAAAACATTTTGTTCTGACTCATGAACACAGACACTATTGACAACCTGTGAAAAATATGAGCGAATGATGCTAAAATAAAAGTTTTAGCCATCCATTCAACCATATGTTTTAAATTATAACAATAATATATAGCCATAGTGGAAATGTAATTATATTGAAAGCTTTTTTTATACAGGATGCTTTATAGTGACAAGGAAGTATATCAAAGGTAATAGAATAAGGTAAAAGCACAGAGAAAAAAAGTCAAAAGGATGGAAGAATTTAAACAACGCAGATTAGATCAATAAAACTCAATGCAGTTAGAAGCAGATTGAGTGAATTTAGAGGCATAGATGACAGAAATTAAACCCACAGAAGAAGGTATTGTTTTTCTTGTTCCCTGCTCTTGAAACCACTGCAATGTCTTCCATAATGGGAAATAATAATAAGCCATGACTCACATGTATCTTCTGTTTTTGCCATATCAAGCTGGGCTTCTAGTCAAGGTGTCCTCTCATCTTGTGGAGATGTGTTAACCTCCTCCCACTCTCCTCCTACGCTGGGCAACAGCAGAACTTAATTATTTAAATTAATAAAAGCCAAGAATTATAGAAACACAAATAAATTAGCACTGTTATAAAGAGGCCCGATTATGCTTTTTGGGGGTTTTCCCTTTCCTGTATTGTTTATATATGTTTTTGATATGATAAGCTAAGGGTCTGGACAACTGTAAGCGGTTGACCAATCAAAACCGAGCAGGCCAGCTAACCAATCAGAGCAGACTGGGCTCTGGTTTCAGACAGAGGGTGAAAAGAGGTGCTGCAGCACAGGCAGTGTGAGGAAAATAAAGAGCTTTTTGAACATTAAAGCATGTAATAATGTCACAATAGAGGCACAACATATAAATATGAACCTGAACATGGGCATGATATGTCCTAAAATAATTGTATCGCTTTGAAATGATCTTTCCTTAAAGCATGTTTGTTGCTTATGTAATTCTTTGCATTTCCATAGTTGTTTTCCCCTTCTTTCTTTCTTCACCTTTCTCTCGTGTTACCTCTCCTGCCCTCTCTCACTGTGTTGTCCTTTGTCTTGTCCATATAACCAATGTCCATATGCTTCTTCTCACGTCATCTCACACTTTCCTTTATCATTCTGTGGTTAATCTCTGTCCTTGGATAACTTCTCCCATGGCCTTTCTCTTATATGGCTTTTTTATTCATCTCCGTCTCACACCCTCTTTCTCTCTTGGATCCAACAGAAAAACCATGTGTACAAGAAGACCCTGCAGTCTTTGATCTACCCCATCTCCTGCACCACTCCACACAATTTTGAGGTCTGGACGGCTACTACACCCACCTACTGCTACGAGTGTGAGGGTCTGCTGTGGGGCATCGCCCGGCAGGGTATGCGCTGTGCAGAGTGCGGGGTCAAAGTGCATGAGAAGTGCCAAGAGCTGCTGAACGCCGACTGTCTGCAGAGTGAGTACATTCAGCAACATTATTCCCTAGAGTTCTTTAGATTTAAAAACAAATATGTGAACTTGAAAAGAACGAGGCCTTGAGGTTTTTCAACCGAAAGAAAAATATTTGTTTTACATTTTGGTTAGTTACCATTAATTGTAACACAGCACATAATTGTTATCATTCAAGCAGGTTCAAGTGCAATACAACAGCCCAAAACATTTACATAAGGAGCAGTGCCAAAACACATGAAGTTACAGCTTTAAAAACTTGACAACACATGTGCAGCATTTACTAAAAGCGCTGCATAAACGAAACGGATCTGCTGTAAGAGTGACAGTTGGCTAACTTTATAATCCCCGAATGTCTTTAAGCGCTCCAATCCCAGCTGTGTGCGTCACTTTTTAGTGTCCCCGTTTACGTTGTGTTTTGAGCTTATTGCAGCTTTTTGTGTTTGCAGCATTTTGTTTTTGCAGCGCTTTCAGTAAACAGTGCGCATGTTTTGTCAAGTTGGTGAAGAAGTTTCTTCATTTGCGTGTGTTTTGGGCTGTTTTTGTGCGTTTTCACCTGTCAACCTACGTAATAAAAGGTACTAGTTATCATTATAAAAAGGCTCAGTGTAGTAACCTACAGTATGGGGAATTCGGTCTTGAAAAGTATATACATTTGATGTTTGAGAAGTTGTGACATACATAAAACCATGCCAAAATGTCCATATTTTTTAAGTGGTTACCATATAGAGATTCACCCCATCTCAAAAGGTAATTGTTTTCTATTATTGTTACTTTTATATCTATGATTGCTACCTTTTGAAGTGAACGAAATTGAGTTGAGCATTGGAAGTGTTGCTAGAGGAAACATTCGGCCATCGCTTCATCGAGTGAAAGTAAGGGAGGTTGACAAAAAAAACCTTAGGGGCGTTTGAAAACCTTACTGTTACCCGAAAAGGAAAATCCATCACTAAAACATAATTTGAACATGTTGCTTCTAGTTTTACTTTTTGTTCACCATTCCCTTCCTGTTTCATTCTTCTTTGTTTTCCCTCAGGGGCGGCCGAGAAGAGCTCCAAGACCGGGGCGGAGGACCGGACGCAGCACATCATCATGGCCATGAAGGACAGGATGAAGATCCGCGAGAGGAACAAACCGGAGATCTTCGATGAGATCCGAAGCGTGTTCAATATCTCCAAAACGATCCACGTCCAGCACATGAAGAGCATCAAGCAGAGCGTCCTGGACGGCACCTCCAAGTGGTCGGCCAAGATCACCATCAACAGTATGTCCAATGGAATTTTAACTTTGAAATGTAAAAATAAATGTGAATAATTACCTAGATACATTAGTTGGGAGTATTAACAGTCACTATTGTTTAGTTTTAGAGGACAGAAAGCGCTGCAGCATCACCATATCGTCCTTTTCTCTCTTTTCTCTTATGGCTATTGAAAGACACAACGCAAAAAAGCATAAAAAGTACTTTTCAGAAAGAAATCTAAGAAAGGTTGAACCTTCACACTTTCAGAATAATAAACCTCTTAAATGACGCCTTAAAAGTAATGCAGATAACATCATCAAACAAATGCAAAAACACCACATTTATAAGCACTGACTGGCAAACATGACCTACAGTTAGACAAGAGAAGCTTTTACAACCTGTCGTTCCTTTTACTTCGTCTTTCTTCATCACACCTAATGCACCTGCTGGATTTTGACAGGCCTGTAGCAACTGCACACTGTGTCTAAGTGTGTCCACACTTGTGCTGTGTGTAGACCGTATCACACTCATATCTCTGTGTGAAGTCGATCTGCAGACTGAACTCAAGGTGACATAGCCTTTTATACTCAGCTGTACCTGATGAAATAAGAATCGTTTTTGTATAAAGTATTATGTCCATTAAAAATAGCTAATTAAGTTTTTGCTAAATGCTACAAAACATATTAATTCATAAAGGATTCAAAGGAATGCTTTACAACCATAAGTAAACTGATATTTAATGTGAAGGAGGCATGTGGCGCAGTGGATAGAGCCTTGGTGTTGGGATCAGGGCGTCACAGGTTCAAACCCCACTGCAGTCAGCATGTCGTTGTGTCCCTGCGACTCTTCACCCCAAATTGCTCCTGTGGTGATTGTCCACAGTATTGAGTATGTAAGTCGCTTTGGATAAAAGCGTCTAACATGTAATGAAGTTAAAAGAGATAAACATTAAATAAGCAGGCTTCTAAACACTTTTTTTGGAACATTTTGAACTGTATTGCAGTGGTAGAATGTTAGAAAAGGTGTAGCTGCATGCTAAAGAAGTTAAAGCCGTGGTGCCCTCAAGAAACCAGCACACTTCAAATCAAATTCTGTAAAAACCTGCATCGGTGAGAATGTGGAGGAGACTTTTAGCTTTCCCCAACATCAATACCTAAAAAAAGAAACCATCCCACATTCCTGGAAGTTTTTCCTTTCATTTGACAGTCTGAACTTTAAATAAACTTCAACTGCTTATCCACGCTTTACTCATTTGCAAAGGAAACAGGTCACCACCTTCCCTTCTTCTCCTTTTACTAAACATGACTGCTGCTGTTACCAAAGCAACCACACTCATCACCTCATATAGTGGCAGCAGTGTCGCCATGGCAGCCATTACACCTTGGCCCTTTCTCATGTCATCAAATGTCCCTCCTCGACTCCCCTCCTCGACTCCTATCCTCGAGACTTAGTCCCGCCCACAGGAGATGCGAGCGGAAGAGCCGAGGAGGGGAACCGAGGAGAAAGGAGGGGAAGCAGCAGGCGGTTAGAGAAATGAGAACTCCTCTCCTCTGAGCGGTCATTTTAAAGAGACGTCCATTAATGATGACAGGAGGCACAGCAGCCCTCTGTCTGATGGACAGATGTGTTCATGACGACTTATATATTTACTTTTAATTCATTCACAGTGCGGTATAATGAGACAATAACAGGCTACAGATGCGGACATACACACAGACACACACACACACACACATATATGTAGGCTATATATTTATATAAATATATACAATTTCAGAATCAAACAGAGCACTCTCATAATAACGTAACACTATCAGAGACTGGATATATCCCCCCCCCCCCTCTCTGGTCGCTACAATGAGGGAAATAAATGACGGGCCAAAAGTTTTATTTACAAGTATTACAAGTAAGCAGAGGACACCAAACCAACTGAGACCTGTCTGTCCGCTGCATCTACGCACACACTGCACCACACACACCTACACCACACACACGCACCTACAGCTCCTAAAGCATATAATCAGGCTACAGCCGTTGTGTATTTTATTATGTGAAGCACTAAATGGTTTTAGAAAAATATCGACTTTGTTTGTAGATATCTACTAAACTAAAGCAAATAAAGAGAGTAGGCCTGTTATACTGATTGATATATATTTTACACACTGCTATGCTTTCTGCACGGACCTCACAGCTGTTCTCACTGTAAACATCGCGTCGCGATGAAAGCAGTTAATAAAATAATATCCAGGGGATGCATGCAGAGCTGTCATTGGCTGAGATAAGTCCGGCCGTGCGTCTCGACTCTTTGAAACATCACTGTTGCCGGAAATGCATCCACGAAGGAGCCGTGGAGGACGGTGGAGGACCCATCAGTGTATCCTCGGTTATAGCTCCTCCAGAGAGCCTCCTCGACGCTCGATGCTCGGTCCTCGATGTGCATTTCGAGAAATGAGATGTCCTTCAACATGGCGCGCTAAAATTCATTTCCGGGTCACTACCGGAGGACCGAGGAGTCGAGGAGTCGAGGAGGGACATTTGATGACATGAGAAAGGGCCCTTGTCTCCCCTGATCACCACGCATGATCTCCATTAAATAGTAGATGCAAGGACAGGCACTTCAGAAGGCACTTTGTTTCAAACTCATACATGGAAATGGAAATGGTTAATGGTGACCTTTTATGCTTTTATCTGGGTTTCCCTTTCCTGTAGTGTGTTATGTAGGTTTTTGTGCAGGTATATGGTCCGCAAAGGCTAACATCCCTCCAACACACTGAATGGTTAGCTGGCCGGCTCTGTTGTGATTGGACTCCTTTGTTTACTTCTGTAACATAATGATATCACTACGTTACAATCACGCTTCTTTTTGCTAGCGCTTCAACACGTTGTACGTGATAGTCTAAAGGGCGGGACATCTCCAGGAAGTTGACCAATCACAACAGAGCTGGCCAGCTAACCAATCAGAGCAGACTGGGCTCTGGTTTCAGACAGAGAAAAATAAAGACCTGAACATTAAAGCATGGAAACATGTCACAGTAGAGGCGCAAAATACAAATATGAAACCAGAAAATGATCATAATGAGGCCTTTTTAAGATAAAGAAATCAAGCGAGATTCAGAATTACCATTGTGGCTAAAGGCATCACACTTTTTTAAACTAAAGGTTTGTTCAAGAATGTTTGTAAAGTTGTCTCTCCTCCAATGGTGTAAATACTTTAAAGAAGTTGTATTTTTCTGTACAAAGATTAACGAGTTTAAACCCTGAATTGCCATTATATACATCCTGAAGCTTTAGCTAATGTTGTGCGCTAAAACATAGTGGAGAGAAAAACTTACAAACAATATTTTAAAGGGGTCTTAAGTCGTTAGTTGTTTTTGTGCTGGATTCACCCTTTTTTTTGGTTTTTCATCATTTATTTTCTTGCATTTTTCATTACAATTCAATCATGTCCCCCATCTGAGATACGTATACTCAGAAATACTTTCAACTCAAATTCAGTTCAGTCAATTTGATTTTCATTAAAATTGATGCTGGACTGACAGGAGATGCTAGGGAGAGCTCTTTGAAAACACAATTGATTTCACAAGGGAATATCTGAACCAATTACTATTCAAAACCCCTTTAGCAGAGATCAAATGCGTCAGTCACTGATACTGAATCAGCTGATGTTGAACTCTTTAGTGTCCTATATGGTAAAAAGTTAAATGTTCAAGTCTAACATTTCTAGCAGGTGTTACAATAATTTGATTACTATTTTGCTCATTTTCAGGTTCATATTTATATTGTGTGTCTCCACTGTGACATGTCTCCATGCTTTAATGTTCAAAAAGCTCTTTATTTTTCTCATACTGCCTGTGCTGCAGCACCTCTTTTCACCCTCTGTCTGAAACCAGAGCCCAGTCTGCTCTGATTGGTTAGCTGGCTGTCTCTGTTTTGATTGGTCAACTGCTTATAAATGTCCCGCCCCTTAGAAGTGTGCTGGCGTCAGATATACGACTCCCTGTCGTCAAATTTGCAGTCTCTACCCCGACCTGCGGATATATTTTGGCAATGTCATACCTACTGTCTCCCCCTTTCAATGCTGGATCTCTAAAATATATTACGTACGCAAGTGTGTGCATGTTATGCCAGGGATGAATTGATCCGATGAATGCCTTAAACTTACCATATTGGATATTAGCCAGTTTCAATGGGCTCCTTAATCCTTAGCAGTCTATTATGACCTCCTGTTACCTTACATGGAAAGGTTGTTGGTTTTGGACCAACTTTTAAACTCCTCTGTTGCCTTGTGACCTTTAATCATAGAGAAATGTCCCGGCTCATGAACCTTGACTTTCCATCACTCAACACAGATTTTCTGTAGCTTGGAAGACAGGCAGGCGTTCTTTATCTTTACGCCGTTTAAACCAGAATGTCCCAGATACGTCACTTCTTCCTGTCCTTTTTAAAATACTTTTGATTGCCTTGTGCGCGGTGAAGCAAAACATCGGGGAACAGTTCTTTGAGTCATTTACTGAGAAATGTTGTTACCCAACATCTGCCTGAGTCATATGTGTTACGAGGCTTTGCATAACTGTGTGGGTAATATCTCTGTGTGTGTGTGTGTGTGTGTGTGTGTGTGTGTGTGTGTGTGTGTGTGTGTGTGTGTGTGTGTGTGTGTGTGTGTGTGTGTGTGTGTGTGTGTGTTGTGTGTGGTGTGTGTGTGTGTGTGTGTGTGTGTGTGTGTGTGTGTGTGTGTGTGTGTGCAGGAGACAGGAATATGGTGGTAAAGAGTAGGTGTTTGTTGTTCTTATGCAAGTTTCCTAGTCATTCACGTTCTGAATGTGTTTTATCAGTCGTCAGTGCGCAGGGTCTCCAGGCCAAGGACAGAACAGGCTCCAGCGACCCGTATGTCACCATCCAAGTTGGAAAGACCAAGAAGAGAACAAAGACCATCTACGGCAACCTGAACCCGGTCTGGGAGGAAAAATACAGCTTGTAAGTTCCACCTGGTTGTGAAGCTCAGCTGGAGCTCTCAGAGGTCTGGCAATGAAGAACTGATACAATCACTTTACAGCTGTCAGATCCTTTAACTTATAATGATAGTTCAGATGTTTTGATGGGGGGTTGTATGAGGTACTTAAACATAGATTGTATACTACCTACAGTACATAGCAATCGTCACACCCCAAGTTTTGGTGTGGAGTGGAAGTGCCAAACTGAAGCCATGAGCAATGTACTTTAGTGTACTGGGTGACAGATACACATACTAGTACTGCAGAAAGCTGTAACAATATTTAACAAGTAGATACAAGCACCAAAATGTTCATTTTATGTAAAACAATGGATTATTGCAAAAACAACATATATTATAACGATTTTTAAACTCCAACAGGAACTATAATTGTATTTCCGTATTTAAAAGACATAACATTGACACAGTATGATCCTACTGTATATTCAAGTGTATTCACTGCAACATAACAGTACATTGGTTAAAAGGCAAATACAGTACACCATCTGAGCAACATTTTCTCTAATATGTCCTAGCATCAGTAGAAACATAATGCCCTCTTTATATATACTTACTCCTGGCACTTGCAGCTGCATAACACTTTACAAAAGATGAAATGTCTAAGCCTTCATTAGCGGCAATCTTGAAAATGGCTGCAATCTTGGATTTCTTTGTTGCTAACGTGCTTTTTCAAAAGAGCAACCTCCATGGAGTAAATGTGCCAATTTTAGTACTTGTATCCACTTGTGAAAGATTTCCCTGATATATTCAATTATCTGCAGCACTAACTGTACCTTGGCCAAATAATAGAAAATCCCACCCAAGAAAAATATTATATAAATAAATATATAAATCAGACAGCCCTTTCCGATGGCCAGTTAAAAAACCTTATTTCAACTTGTGAGTTGAAATGGCTTTTGCACTGAAATGTAGTGGTTACAATGCTGTATAAACAACATGTATGTGTAAGGCAAGGCAAGGCAAGTTTATTTATATAGCACCTTTCAACACAAGGCAATTCAAAGTGCTTTACAAAAATGAAAGACATTAAGAAAATGGCATTTAAAAACAGTCATTAAAAAGCAAAGATAATAAAATAAACATTAAAAGAAAAAAAGTGTAAGGTAGACATCCCAAAACAAGAGGTTTTAGCCAAAACATCTAAAATATGTTTTCTCTTACAAATCATGAAATTGATGCTTACTAGGTAGTTACCACAGAATAATAGTCAGGTACCCATGTTTTAAAGTCTTTTTTCACATATGTTAATGTCACCCACCTGTCCTCTGTCTCCACAGCGAGTGCCACAACTCATCAGACCGCGTCAAGCTGCGAGTTTGGGACGAAGACGATGACATCAAGTCACGAGTAAAGCAGCGCCTGAAGAGAGAGTCTGACGACTTCTTGGGCCAGAGCATCATCGAGGTCCGAACTCTGAGCGGAGAGATGGACGTCTGGTACAACTTGGGTATGTAGCCATTGGAACAATGGGAAAATGGGAGACATGGTGTTTGTATGTATTTCTGTTATGGTATTCTAGACATAGTTGTCATTTATACTGGGGATGTGACCACCACTCGATAAATATAATTTGTTAAAAATGTTCTGAGACGTAGCTTACAACAACAAATGTTAACCAACAAATTAAGACATTTAAATGTAGTAATCATAGCAAAAATAAATGTGCATTGTCAACACAAATGTCTGTGTGTGTATTTCTCCACTTGCAGAAAAGCGAACAGACAAGTCGGCGGTGTCTGGTGCTATTCGTCTTCAGATCAGTGTGGAGATCGAGGGAGAGGAGAAGGTGGCACCCTATCACGTACAGTACACGTGCCTTCATGAGGTAACACACAAACACACACACAAGAATACACACACATGCACACTGATACTTTAATGAGATACACAAATAACTCCTTATTACTACCACATCTAAATCATGTATACACTTATTATTTAGTGTGTAAAAACAATTAGGATTATTTCTGATTAACAAATAAATAATGAATTCCAAATTCTTAGGATCATACATTTTACAATGATATATTAGACAACAAATCAGCAGCAAATTCTCATATTTGAGAAAAAGAACCTGTGAATGATGCATTTGAAACAATATGTAACCAACATTTTTGTAGATAATTTGTATGCAGATCACTGATGCTAATACAACAATATTTGACTCGTTGATTAAGTACTACATGTATTTTTCAGTAAATAGGAAATTAATAGACAGTTTTCATAATAACTTTACAATTGTTTAGAATTGTTTTTAGGGTTAACAGAGATGCAGGTTTGAATTTTTAAATTGAAAGCCTTTTAAATTACTTCAAATTGTTTTTTACGCTTTTTAAATTAACAGACATTTAAAGAGGCCCTATCATGCTTTTTGGGGTTTTCCCTTTCCTGTAGTGTGTTTTATATAATTGTGTGCATGTTAATGGTCTGCAAAGGCAAAAATAGCAAATTTCCCTCCAGAGGGAGTTTCTCTCCCACACACTGGAAAAGAAAACGCTGCATATAAGCGCTATGCCAGACACACCTCAATTGGACTCCTTTGTTTTCTTCCATAACGTGGTGACATCACTATCTAACACTCGCACTTCTATTAGCTAGCGCTCCAACACATTGAACGTGATTTGCTAAGGGGCGGGACATCTCTAAGCTAACCAATCAGAACAGACAAAAATAACGCAGGTTTTGAACATTCAGGAATGTAAACATGTCACAGTAGAGGCACAACATTTATGATTTGAACCTGAAAATGATCAAATATATCCTCTTGAAATTGTGAATAGTGAGAAAATAATAACAACTAAGTAATTTCTCAACTGTGAAGATCTTCAACACATTCAGCATATACTGTAAAGCCATCTTTAGCACTGTTGATGTTGTTTTGTTCTCCCAAAAAAAATGTCTTCTGTAGAACATGTTCCACTTCTCCACGGACATAGAGGGGGGCGGCGTCGTGAAGATCCCAGCGGCTCACGGAGACGATGCGTGGAAGGTTTACTTTGATGAGTTACAGCAGGAAATCGTGGACGAGTTCGCCATGCGCTATGGCATCGAGTCCATATACCAGGCCATGACGTAAGCTCAGTGTTAAAGTGTGTGTGTGTGTGTGTGTGTGTGTGTGTGTGTGTGTGTGTGTGTGTGTGTGTGTGTGTGTGTGTGTGTGTGTGTGTGTGTGTGTGTGTGTGTGTGTGTGTGTGTGTGTGTGTGTGTGTGTGTGTGTGTGTGTGTGTGTGTGTGTGTGTGTGTGTGTGTGTGTGTGTGTGTGTGTGTGTGTGTGTGTGTGTGTGTGTGTGTATATCTTTCATGTGCAGGGCACTCCAGTTCTCCAGGATGTTAGCCGCTTGTGTACATGTGTGGGTAAATCCAATCAGGAAATACTTTCAATTAGTGTTTGTTTACAGTATGTTTAGGTGTGTGTGTGTGTGTGGGGGGGGTGTGTGTGTGTGTGTCAGGGTTTCCGTTAGCCGGTAATTACCGGTTTTTCGCTGGTAAAATCTATTAAAAACCGGTAAATTCAAAGCCTGCCGGTCAAAATGTCCGGTAATAATTAGGGATGCTCCGATTGATTGGCCGTCGATCATTATCGGCCGATATTCACTCTTAATAGTTTGATCGGTGCTCTCTGGCCAATCAGGAGAGCTAGATCTGATCGATATGGACATAAACGCGAGTGAAGTATAACCGGACGAGAGAGAGAGATCAGATCAGCTGCTGAGTCAGACGGAGACAAGCAGCTCTGCATAATCACCTGAAGCCCCGCCCACTGTTTAGCGAGCTGCATAAGAAACAGACAGGCTGTCAGGAGAGAGAGGGAGGGAGAGAGGAAAAGAGAGGATCCGTTTCTCCCGTGTTATTATCCAAAGTTAATGTAAGCTTTTGAATAATGTACTTTATCTACTATAAGTAGTTTGTTTGAATGTAATAATTATGTTGTTTGTTGTTTGTGGAAGCGCATCATTTATTTAAAAATGAATCTGATCTGTTACGATTATAAACTGAAGCAATATAAAAATGAGCCCCATTAACTGAGTTTTAAACGTCAGCATATCCGGTCATAGTCCGGTAATTACCTGCTAACAGAAACTTTGCTACACAATTCTTACTATTATTATTGAAACATGACCGGTAAGTTTCAAATTTGTCCGGTAAAATAAATTATTTCCGGACATTTGACCGGCAAGACAAAATCCTAGCAGAAACCCTGGTGTGTGTGTGTGTGTGTGTGTGTGTGTGTGTGTGTGTGTGTGTGTGTGTGTGTGTGTGTGTGTGTGTGTGTGTGTGTGTGTGTGTGTGTGTGTGTGTGTGTGTGTGTGTGTGTGTGTGTGTGTGTCGTTGTAACAAGAGGTGGGAGGAGCTCTCATGAACTATAAACAGCTTCTAAATTTGTTTATCACATCAAATTAGAAAAGATGACCTTTCACCTCAAAGATTGCCAGGCTGTTTGATCCGATCATTGTAGGCAGATGGAGAGAGCCTTAATGAGCACGCACACATGTATTAATATTGTAATTTGACCTTAAAGGGACAAAGAGGGCCTCTGAGTTTATCGTGTGCAATGGAGAAGCACAAAACAGATAATATAATCATGCTAGGCAGACTTGAATACAGTGAAGTTGTCAGCATAAATTGCTCGGACTACTGTATGTCCCAGTGGAAATGGATAAAAGGAGCGAATCAATAACTCAGCCAAATGAAAATGGTGATTAAAATACACTTACACAAAGTCAAAAGGATTTTCAACCTTCAGTAGTTGATTTGTCTTTTTTAGTGTTATTTATACATTTATTATTATTAGCATTGCAAAATAAATGCAATAAACTAAAGAAACAGTATAGAGAGGTATAAACTAAAATTGTTAAAAAATATGTATTACGCAGATTGATTATAAATGAAAATATTGATATCAAGTATCTTTTAAAGTTTGGGGTTTCTGTACTTTTAAGATAAAAGAGCTATGAAAAAATAATAAATAAATAATGTAAATAAATGAGTTTATTTAAAACAAAAACAAATGAAAATTATGCAGAAATTAAAATGCTTATAATTATTATTGATATGTTATCTTTATATTTTCCCAAGTATTAACCCATGACTTCAGAGTTGTGCTGACATTAGGGTTAGGGTTAGATTTATATATATTTTTAAACCTTTTATCTTTATTTATTTTTTCCACAGATTATTTTTGCAGACATTTTAAATGAAAAATGTAGAATAAAATAATTTCTCACTATTAAGGCCGAGATGTTTCTTTTTTTAATTAGTTAATATGTCTTAATAACATAATAACATAATGCAAATGGACTGTTTCATGTTAAAGATGCAACTGATATATTAATGTTATTAATCCATGGCAGTTGCAGAAAAATGGCTACACTTGTGATCAACTACTTTAACTCCCCTAATTAATTTTAGTTGGTTTTCCTCCCGCCTCTCTGTCTATCTTCTCTCTCTCATCTCCAATTATGCCAAACCCTTTACTCCCTCACCCTCCTTGATCTCCACAATTTATGTCATCTGTCCTCATGTCCTTTGAACTTTCCTTCTGGCCTCTTAATGTCTTCCTCTCAACTCTTCTCTCCTTTGCTTCACCTGTCTCATCCTCCCACCATCTCCTCGCCTTTTTACCTCTTCAATCTCCTTAAATTTCCCTCCTTCCAAACTTGCTAACTCTCCCTCCTTTCCTTTACTCCTCAGCCATTTCTCTTGCCTGTCCTCTAAGTACATGCTGTCAGGGGTTCCGGCAGTGATGAGCACACTACTGGCCAACATAAACGCCTTCTACGCCCACCCAACAGCCTCCACCAACGTCTCCGCTCCGGCTAGGTTTGCAGCCTCCAACTTCGGGGTGAGTGGTCACCACACGCAATCAAATAAACACAGAAAAGTCTTTCCAACACAATCTGACTTATCAAGATGATCATTTTTTGTTTGTAAAGCAACTTTTGATGCAAAGACTGATGTGCTTATCCCGCTTATTATCACGTTTATTACGCCACTACCTACTACATAAACCAACGATTTGATTCACAGCACTGATTTTAAAAGGATTTTATTGATTTCAAAATAATCGTATTGCGATTTAACGTAACTTAAAATGAACAGCGGCTCTGATCGAGGTTTTCTGTAACTGTCCGAGTCTATTCACATTTTATTTCCATTAACTAGTCTTTAAACAATGCCAGCGCCCATACCGTTTTCCTGTTAGTGTTTACCTCCTGTCTTTCTTCTTCTATTTATTTCCAGCGCTGTCTTTTAACCTCTCTCCTTCTCTTGCACTCTTTTACTTAAGGTGTTAAGCCATCATGAATTATAGTGATAGTTTCGGTCTATCCACAAATAAAAAAAGGAATATTCCAAACGACCTACTACTGCACATAGTCACTTGATCCAACTTGTCAAATTGTTCTCCAAAGCAGAGTTCTATGAGCGAAAATGAACAACCTCTGAAATGTCCAAATTGACATATCAGAATCGAGTATTCATCTCTCAGCCGTGTAATAAAGGCCAAAAAAGGCACTTCACTGTGCCACAGAAAACGACCTCATCAAACTAAACATGTTGATGAGGCTAGTGATCACTTATTTGTACTGTTGGGAAATGACCCAACATCATCAGTGGTTGTGCTCAAAAACCTTTGACGTACATTATAGAAGTCAGTCTAAGTTACTTCTTAAACACAACTGATATTATTCTGATAAAGCCTGGGCAGTCTCTCAAAATGGCCCCGATGTGAATATTGGTTGCATCTCAATCACAGGTCAAAACAATGACAGTGGCACCGCCTTGGGAGGAGCTGCAATATTCTTGAGACGACATGTTTACCTTGTCAGTTGTTTGTCCTTCCAGAGCACTGTAGATACACAACAACAGCAAAGCATCAAGGCATTTTTTGAAATGCAGATGGTGATTGGAATGATTGAATTGGATTTCAGGCTTAAAGCACACACACCGCAAGGAGTTCAGACATTCAGAAAAAATAATAAAAAAACAGACTTTTATAGAAGCTGGAACAAAAACATTTTTTTTAACCTGTTTTAAAATGCTAACACCTTACTGCACCGAAAATCACTCACAAAACCTTATTATTTATCTTTTCACCACATCCAACACATCAATTCACATCGTGAGGTGACACAGAATCGATTGACACCGACATTACCACTGAATTATACGTATTTGCGACGTTATAAGCAAAAACGGACATCAAAACAGGTGACGCTAGGTAGCTAAAAATGCTAACATTTTTACCTTGGCTCTGTAGTCTCTCCAAAGTGGTCTTCAATGGCATTAAAACGATAAAAACGCTGCTGAAGTTAATCCATAGGTTAATCTAATGTGTCTGTGTCCCTTTGAAATTATTTCTGATAATCCATAAGCATTAAAACTGCTTTTCCGTTTCCAGATGTCAAAGCTAGAGATAGGTCCACTCTGATGCAAAATTACATGCGCGAAGCCCCCACCTTTTCTCTTCACAACGTGTGTGTGTGGGGGACTCCCCCTTCAATTCTATTGGCTCTAACGGTCAGAAAGAGGTGTCAACCATCAAAATCGAGCAAGGGGGGCCAGAGATATGGAAAATCCACCCAAATGACCCCAGAAGTGGTTTCTTTTTGCTAAATCTCTCTAAAAAGGTCAAATGTCACTTGTTTTGCATCAATCTTCATACAGGGTACTTATTATATGTTGTACTTTGGATTCCTAAAGCTTTTAGTCTACTAACCCATCATCCAAGGGTGGTTTTCACTATAAGTACAAAATAATTGTTGGACGGACACTATAATTTACAGTTTTTTACTATGTAAAATCTGAATTTTCTTTAAAATAAAAAACATCTATATTGATTCTGACTTTTCTACATCCAACTCACAGGTTTATCATTACTTTGAGAAAAAAGATTATTAATTTAACCCTTTTAGAAGGGAAGATATGGTCATTTGTTCTGGGAATGTCATTTTCGAGCCTGAGACCTGAAAAACAGGCTCAGGGCTTAACAGGTTAAATGAAGGTGAGAGATGTTTGAATAAGCCTTAAAGCTACAGTTTGGTTGACACAGTTTTCTTACAGAAGGTGACCCAGTTTGTATGTCAAATTTAAATATTCCATGACTCCCTGTTTTTTCTTATTAGTGTGAATGCTGTTTACAGCATTCCACTATAGTTTTTCTTTTCTTTATTAGTGCGAATGCTGTTTACATATACTATAGTTCTTCAAATCTTTAATCTTCTTCTTCTTATTATTATTTCAACCAATATTTTGCCGTCGAATAACTTCAGCATACTTTCAGCTACAGAAACCATTCAAATATCAAACTATTCAGCCTTTTCAGCACAACTTTCAACTTTTTCAAAATATTTTATACTTTTTGAAATATTCAGCTTTTTAAACTCTTTTTTTAACATGTAACTCAATGGGAGGAACCTTCAAATCCTCTTTTACCTACACCTTGCGCCAAATGCTACTCCTTCCACATACTTCCAGCTAGAGACTTCATTCCAACTTTAACTTCTAATGATCACAAGACCTTCAGCTATAAAAGTTGTTCTTCAGATATTTGATATCTTTTAAACTTTTTGAGATATTCAACTTAGTTTGGAGCTTGGTGGAATAGGATTAGTATGTATTGCGCCGCTCGTTAGGTCTAGAGTGCTTTGATCTCAAAACAGAGTGGAGGAGAGCTTGAAATTCGCCCAAAAAAATGTTTTAAACCTGCCATAACTCCCAAACCCTACACTCCTTAGACATCATTTTTCATGAAAAACGTAGGAAAACCTCTCCTACGTTGAAAAATAAAAATAAATTAAGCAAAGAAATTAAACAAAATGCCTCTTGAGGGCAACAAAAAAACGTTCAACATGTCTCCATTAAGGCCCATTGTAAATTCAGCCTGATCTTTCCTCAGAGCAGCAACTGCACACCTTTAGTAAATCTGCCAAAAATGCCACATTATTGACCCGAAAGTACACAAAAAGCAGACTCCGACGCTCCTCACGGTCCTGACATCCTCCACGCGTTGACTTTTTACCGAAAGCAGCTACCGTTTTTAAACTATAGTTAGAAATGTAAGAGGTTTATTTCTCATTCAGAAAGGCTCTCCTATCACAGATCACTGCACATCACCATGGAAACCTTTGATCTCTGCACACAGGTGTTTGATAACGTCGTCACCATGGACACCTTTGATCTGGACACAGGTGTTATGATTAGGTGTTATGATTAGGTGCTCAGCACAGAAACACTGACAAGAAGACTGGAGTTTAAAGACTGTCTCAGCCTATTATTTTCTGTCTGATGGAGACTTCATACTGACTTCAACATATTTTATACATTATTGGTGATGTATGGTTTTAGTTCAAAAGTTTGCAGTTAAAATATTCTGTTGCTTTTCAAAGGGTTTTTACTTTCTTTTCTCTTCTTAATACACATTAATTCACTACTACTTACATTTAATATCTAACTCCTTCAGCCTACTTTCAGCTACAGAAACCATTCAACTATTAAATTATTCAGCTATTTAAGGACATTGAGGCTATACATTTTGTTGTTTATACCTTTTTTAAACTTTTTTTTTTAAATATTAAGCTTCTTCACTATTTTTCCTACTCTTCCAGTTTAACATTTCACTTTCAGTTTTCAACAAAGTCATTGCAATGCATTTGAGCTGTAACAATTTTGATTAAAAACATTTCACTTTTCTGCATTTCTCCACTAAGTTCAGCAACACACTTACTTGGTTTTTGTAGCTAAAAGCAGCTACAGAGACCATTCAACTAATAAAATATTCAGCTTTTTCTGCATTTACAGCATTCACACAAATTTTCTAGTTATCCCAAAGTGTCTGATCTGGAACTTTACTGGTTATCTGTGCCAAGGTTGTCACTAGAGAGGTGTTTTTACATTCTGCTTCTGAAGGTAGAAATGTTGCTTTCCCTAAAATCTGAGTTTCCAATGTTCTCTTTCTCCTCTCTCAAGAGCAGAGGTGAATAGTCAGTATAGGGTGGGTGTTAGTGTAAGCATGTTGAAAGTTTCAAAGGCAAACATGTTAATAGTGTGTTGTTTTTAGATTTAACCTGACCCTGAAGCTTCCTGCTGCTAATGTTGTCAGCCAATGCTAATAGCAAGCTAGCAAACAGCATAAACAGCTAAACGTTGCTAACTACACGCCTATCCCTCTGCTAGTTGCTGATGTTGGTGCACAACAAACTCCTCCCCTGATACAAACATGTATAAATCTCTCCAATGTTTGCTCTAACAGAGTGAAATTGACCAGACAATATTTTTCCGGAGTTCCACAATCGCTGTAATGATGCTAGCTGTTGAACATAGCAGCGTTGGACAGCCAATGGCAAATTCTGAATTTGTCAACGAGAGTGAAATAGCAGCTTCCCACCCTTTTTCACATGTATTACATTTTGTGTGGGATACCCATATTAAACGATATAATAAACAGAACATTATATATAACAAGTGGCTAAAGGCGATTTTTAAAGCTGACATCAATGAGAATGACCTGTCCAGAGCTAGGAGGTTTGTTTATGCTGCTTAAAGCTTCCTCATTAAAACGTAATATATTACCCATGTGGGACCTTAGGAACGGCAGTGTACTAAGCCCACGGGCCCTACAGGAGCCACAGCGAGGGGGACAATGACAGTTAGAGGCCAAGCTTAATGACTTCTGGGATTTTTGCCAATAGTGGAGGCTTGAGTTGTCCTACTGGTTGCACTCAGACTCCGATGATTTATGATCGACCGGTGGCAGGGAGCTTTTGTTGTAATTGGTCAGGGAATGCAGCCAGTCTTGCTTCAGCATAGGCTACAGCTGTGGGGGTCTATATCGGGGTTGCTAAA